TTTCGGCAGATTTGTCATTTCATACCCATGCTGGAGATATGGATTCACCTTATTATATTTGGGTATTCTTGTTTTGATCGGGAAAGCCTTCAAGATTGACATACTTGCTTTACCGGTATTTCATTTGTTATTAATATATTTATATATATTTGTTGCATTGCATACATATGGCACGGCATTGGTGGTTACTTCACATATTTATTTGAGCTAATTATTTCCGTTGCAGAAAAAATGGCATGTGTCAATTGGATCAAAACTGACTTTGTTTGACTCACGAATTTTGCTTTCGCTCGACTTTGCTAAACGCTTCACCTCGCAAATGCATGCTTGTCAAACACAGCAGTGTCAATTTTAATAAAACAATCTATTATCAGTAACTGGTATAGTTGGTAGTATATACTGACAGTTCATAAATAAAGTTATAGTTTGTATTATTTTTTGTTGATAATACTTAGTAGTGACAAAAGACAATTGCTGAGAAATCTGTTTCCAGTGACTTATTCAACGAAACGCACCATCACCATTATCAATTCTAATGGAATGATATTGTTCTGCCCCATGAGGTATTCAATTATGGGATGAGCAATAATTATTATCGACTGTAATACTCGATAATTATTGCTGTGCATGATCATTTGTTTTGCAGCATAATTGAGATTAAACTTTGTAATTAGTTTCGGAGTGGTCCGCCTAAATTCATCCTTGGGTAATAATTATCATTTCTCGAATGAATTGGTTTCGAGTATGCAATTATATACCTAGATGGATTATATTGAAACTCTCAGATGTATGTAAAGGGTGTCCCATATTATATACGAAGCATCAAATCAGTAGGTGGTCTATTGCTTCAAAAGGATTGAAAGGGACTTGTACACATTTTTTCACTAGCGTGCAAAAGAACCGACATTTTTTTTCCACACAAGTGCGGAAAAGTAGATTTTTCCACACTGAAATGAATGCGGAGAAGTTAATTTTTCCGCACGCTAGTAGGAATGAAAAAATAATTTCAACATGAAAACATTTTCGTAGATAGATACAGTACCAACAGTTTTCGACTGTTGGCGTGGAAATATATGGTGAAAGCTTTACGAAAAATCAAATATGCTGAGAAAAAACTGACGATATAAAATTTCCATTTCAACCTCAAATTTTCAGTTGCCATCAAGTCTATAATTTTGATTTGAATATTGTGATACTCTCTGAATGCAGTATATGCTTTGACTAGTCAATGAAGAACTGAGAAAAAACTGACAATACAATATTTTCATTTCCACTTCAAGTTTTCAGTTACCATCAAATTCATGGTTTTGAATTGCATATTGTGATACTCCCCGAAAGCAGTATATGCTTGAGGCAAGTCAATGAAGTGAGGGATCTACTGATATTATCGAAATATGTGTGTTTTGTGAATCTCATCGTTGTATATGAATTCACTATAGGTACATTCCCTACATCCGTTATGAATATTGCCATTATCTTTCCTCAATTCATGGCATTTTTTCTTCACGTCTCAATAATTGAGTATTATTTCAATATAGATACCTGTACTAAGGTCAAATCTGATGTTTTGCCAAAAAATTTCACTGCATTTAGAACTGCACTATTAGGAAACTGCACTATCAGGAACCCTTAAATAGAACTTTTATAAAATAACCAGCCGCAGGCTGCGTTTATGTAGATATCCTTGGGATGTCACAAAAATACCTTCTCCTTAGTTTTTTCATAGCCTTTCTATAGACACAACGAATCATTTTCAAAGAGCCTTGCCGCACATTGAATCGCTGTATATAAACCATCTTTGAGGCACTTTTCCGAAACCTTTTGTTGAAATAAACTTCTGCATTTGAATAAAATCAACTCCATAATCCGTTTCTAAGTAGTGCTTGCTACAAACAGATATATGTTTGGGGATAGGTTTCCCATTTTTTTTAAATATTTTGCCACACTGCATAATTTTAGGGCAGGGAAGCTGTGTATGGATACATTTGAACATTTATATTGATCACACTGAGACACCAAACAACAAATCTTGCATTTGCTGATGGTCATTATGCGAATGCGAATGCGAACAAGAACAGCGAAATCGGAATCGAATCGGAATCCATCGTATTGTGACGTAATCATGAGACGTTGTGGTGGGGCAAACAAAGAAATAGCACAAAAGAACAAGAAAAATACTCCCAATATTCTTCAAAGACCTCTTAGGGGATACTGTGAGCTTCGCTTCCAATGAAAGTCAGTAGGTATACGACACTTTCTCAGCCTCTCAGTGACTTCATTGAATGCAAATAATTGCTCCAATCTTTCCAAATATGCACATATATCTTGATCCCTGCTGTGAGGTTCAATTGACCCTCTGAATGTCATGTTTTCTACTGTAATGTTTCTTCCTGTATTGGTAGCCTTCTTTATAGACTTTTTGCCGCCACTGACTTGACTTCGAATCTTATGACTCAAAGGCTTTTGGGGCTCGACTTCAAAACACATGCATCGGACTGCTTAGAGTTGACTTCATTGTCACTGATTTTCACAGAACACAGAATCATGGAATCCTAATTTAACAACAATTATGAAGTTAACAAATACAAATGACAGTGGCTGATATTGCGTCCATATGATGCCTAACTCCATATATACTACAATATCCAACACCTTCGAAGACCTCTTTAGAAAATGCATATCACGTCTCAAAAAAAAACATCTTCATGCCAACATTTTCGAAACATCCCAAAACATCCCGTGGCTGTTTATGCTTGCTGGAAATTTTACTTGCTAGATGAACCTACTACCAAGTATGCAGTCATCCAGAAGAAGTTTGAATTAATAGAACACGACCCTGGAAGAGCAATCTTGTTGAATGTCGCCTCCTCCTCTTGATTCTCTTGTGCATTATGTTCATAAATGAAAAATAAAGACACATTATCATTGGTATTATTATTATTATGTATACGCCCCTGATGTTCAGGTCAATACCATTTTCCGTGTGGCTAGCAACGATCCCGAAAGAATGAGAGGAAGTACGGCCCATTTCCCAAATGCCCCACTTATTGCGGGCCCGGTGATATTTCGTTCAACTGGATGTTTCCGACTTATTTTTCGGTTTGTTTGTGGCGAGCACTGAGGTTGTGTCGGATTCATCACCTTGTCCTAGTTCTGAAAACTACACCGAGGAAGAAACATCACGAATAAAAGAAATATAAAATACAATGTTAGAGTCGGTCGATACTACACATATATTTTATGATAACAGAAGTAGTCTAGCGTGTCTGCACAAATACACGGAGGAATAAAAATAAGGTGAAATTTAATTCGAAAATCATTCAATATCCAATTAAACAATAGTTCCTAGATGTCCCTTTCCCTACACAAATTCAACATCTTGAACAATTACAAAAACGTCAAATTAGGGAGACTAACAAATCGTTAGATTATTTGACGATTATCCAGAGGCTGTGCTTGAATTTCGAATTTTGAAGAATATGTTCATGGTTGCCAAACGATCGTTTTCTTCATATTTGCGATCTGCTCACAAGGCAATAATTGCATCTCTTTGGAAACGTCAATTCTGATTGTTGGGATTCTGAATGCTCTACTTATACAAATCGGTTGTGGAAAAACACCATCGTGGTCACTTTGGAGACCTGCAGAACATCTCGAAGACTCTTTCTTTCAACGAACAGCAAGGCTCTTCAACACATTGCAAAGGGAGGTGTTTCCCGAGGCATATCACTTCCAGAAGTTTGAGAAGAAAGCCAATTCCTACCTTATTTCCCTTGGTTCTCATGATGTTCTCTGAACATTACAGGATATCCCTTTCCGTGGGAACGAGAACATGAAAAAAAGCAACACATCTTCAATATTATCAGTGAATAATTAGTGATACAGTGGAATATTTCTATGTGCGTTGAATGTATAGGAGTAGGAGTGAAAGGAATCATCAAGGAGCAGTGGCCCCTAACTTCAAAGACCTTGAACATTCCAATTATATCCCCATTTTTGGTAATTTTGCACTTATCATGCGATGGGTTTTTTTTCGAAAATTTTTTTTGGTACTTACGTATTTTTGTCTGAAAAACACGAATTTGATAATGAAAATGTGAACAAACCATTATTTATTGAGATATTTCACTTTAAAGTTACAAATTTCACCTTCTTTTCCGCCTGTCTTTGAGGCGCATTTAGAACAATTTGCCCTTCTTTTTCCATCATTGAACAATTTATATATATCACACAATGTTGGACACATTTTTTTTAGTATATGAGTCAACTAGAAATATGATTTTCTTGTGATTTATCCATGTTTAGTGAAAAGAAGGAAGAAAATCATTTGAAATAATGGCGTGTGTGATGACATTCCAAAGCAATCTATTGACATTTGACATCTCCCATTTGGATTACCCATCGATTAAATGGCGGTCATTTGGTATGCTTGCTCACTAAATAGGAAAAACTCGCCATAAAAATCATATTTCCTGTTGAATTTTCTAGTTTAAAATGTG